ATTGTGGACTGAACCGAGGTTGATTCAGGATCAAGATAGTCTCGGTTAGAAGAGAGTATCTGAAAAAACTCTTTCTCAAGCATGGACATACCCATCTCCATCAGGTTCTGTGCAAGGACAAGCTTGTCAGATTTGGAGTCTTGAGAGATGAGATAGTGCATGGCTTTACGTAAGTCACGTACACATCTGATGAATTCTTTGGCTTCTTTTCTGCTGTGACTGAACAGAGAGGTGATCTTTCTGTAGGAGATTGAGTTTGGATCCCATTTCTTGATGATTGTTTCTGCAGCTTCCAAGGCTTCTTCCATCATGGACTGAGAAAAGGTTTGGCCATGTTGAGAAGCTGGAAGAGAGTTGAAAGAAGAAAGAGAATTGAATGAAAGGTTTGATAGAGAAGAGAAAGAATAGGAAGAGAAAGAAAAAGTTTTAGACATTGATCTCGCCATGGTTTTGAGGTTTAATGGAGAGAGCCTCTTTAGCTTTTAATCTCTCTTCGTAATCTTTTGTAAGATCATTTGAACATTATATAAACATTGATCTATGTTTGGGTGAAATCTATGACCAAAACAAACATCTAATAATTAGCTTCTCTAGAGACGTGCAAGCTTTGAAATATTCCGCACGGGTGACATTCATATATAAAAATATTATTTGAACGAGTAATCAAAAGTATAAAGGTATAAACTCTCTAGGTAACAGCATGCATCCATGACTTCAAAAATATTAAGTTTTAAAATTCTTTGTGATGTCATTGAACATGATAAAGAGAGATGGTTGTTTCTCAACATTTGAGCGAAACCAGTGATGCATGACCTGAACAAACTTTTGATTAGTGCCTTCTCCATATGTACAAGCGTTGTAATATTTCTACGAATGACGTTCACGTAGTTTCTTTACAAATATATAAAATATTTGGACGAATAGTTAAAAGCATAAAGGTATAATTCTTTACATAAAAGCATCTCATTACTTAAAATATAAAGTTTTATATACTCTAAAAGCAACTTTAACATTTTAAACTTAGAAGTTTTGAATAATGTACTATCTTTATTCTATCTTTATTCTATATTTCATTGTTAATATAAGATTTTCAAAGTTAAATTTGAAGGTCTTCTTCTGTATAAAATACTCTGAAATTTTAAATTTTGAAGTTTTTTTCAATTTTAAAAATGAAGCTATTTCAGAGTCAGAGATACTATAAAAATTACACAAATAAATTGATCGAATATAGGTGTTTTATTGATTTTCTTATTAATTAATAAAATTAATTATTTTATATTTACATATCAAATTTTACATATTTATTTTTAAATATCTACAACCTGTAGATGTAAACTACAACCAATTTAATTACAACAAAAGTTCTATAAAAAGATTCAGCAGTAATTTTATAGATATAACCAATTCACTTATATCTAAATTTTACAACAAAATTTTTAAAGTCAAAGTGGAACCAATCCTCCAAATTCACCTTAGTTATGAGGGTAGAATAATGATACTTCCAAAGATTTCTGAATCTGTTTATAATTTCATTATGTAAACCTACGGAACTAAATACTTAAAATATTTTTTTGTATAAATTCTTGAGGACAAGTGATACCTAATATTAATATATCAAACTACAACTTGCATAATTCAATTTGCAAATATTGAAACCAAGGATAATAATATGTATATTATATCTCCTTCAGATCATTTTTCATACCTTCGTTCTGTTTTTCTTATAATGTAGTTTTCGTTCAAGCTGTTTGCATCTTTCTTGGTTTCTACCTCTGTAAACTCTGATGTTTCTTTTTTTTTAAATATGAAAGCCAATTAAGAAAAAAAGAATATTAATCTGTTTTTTGACCAACCATACAAAGATACATGCCTATTACATATTTGCTGGTACATATTAATATATTATGAGTTAATGACATATAGAAGGTTTGAAAAATATATATATACAACATACACATACATCTTGAACACGAGCTTAATTACAGAAAATAAGGTATACTAGAGTTTCACCCGCATATCCGTGCGGGTATATTTTTTTATTTTATAAATATATAACTAATTTTTTTTAATATATGATTTATATTTTAGTTTTAATTATAATCATATCTAATAACGAAATAAAGAAATACTTATTTTATAAAAAATATATTTAAAATTTTTGGTAAGATCTTGTTAGATTTTTTCAACAGATTTTGTTATATTTAAATTTATTTATTATTAATGTTCTTATTAGTTATTAAGATATTGTGAAAATCATATATATTTGACTGGTTATTGTAACAATAAAATATGTCAATTAAGTAATTAATAACATGGTCCAACATGACTTCTAAATAGTAGATAAATTTGGTACTTCTCTTTTAATAGAGAAGATGACTTATCAAAGTCAACGACCTATAGATGTTGCCACGATTTCTTTATCAACGCCGGTGCCGTCCCTAATGTTTTTTGTTGCTTAAAGAATATTTTTCTTTTGATAAAAAAAAAGAATATTTTTCTAAGGTGGCCCTATATTTAAAATATTTAATAAATATTTATAGTAGAATATACAAAATTGTAAAAGAAAACAATAAAATATACATGAAGAATATTGAGTTTCTAATAAATTGTTAAAAAATAATTTTCTAAATTTAATAGTTTGAATATGTTAAAATATTTGGTTTCAAACTTCAAATCAGGAATCAATATTTAAAATTTGACTTTACTTAAAATATTTGAAGTTCACTGTTATAATCTAGGAATTTAATTATTTTTTTAAATATGGTTTCAAAAGTTAGAAATAGTTGAAAATAATTAGATAAACTAGAAGTATAGAAAGAAAAAAAAATGCAGTAAAAAGAAGAACATAATATAAATTTTTGGGTTAAATAACTATAGAGGTAAAGAGAAAACAGTATAAACAAAGTGAATTAATCTATCAAAAACAAAAGGTCACTTGTCTTCTGTTATATTCATAATCAAAATTAATCAAGAAATCTATTTCATAAGAAAGGATGATGGTTACAATTAAGAAATCACGTTACTTGTGACCTAATTCTTCTTTTAACATTTGGTGGTCTAAAGCTTGTATTTTATCCGATTTAAGGAAGGGACATGTCTGATCAATGCTTACAAGTAAATTAGAGCTCATCAATAAGCCATTATATATACTTATTTCAAAAGGTTAGTGATTTAAAAATCTCTTGATAGAGAAATTGAATATCAGTTGCGTCAATTTTTGAAGTTTAGTTTAGTTAACCAAATACAACAGTTAAACGGTTATGAAAGAGTAATACGATTACAAAGTCATGTTCTAAAATGTTTACTCACAACACATGTTTATATCTTGGAAAGGGATTGTTTCAACCAGCTTCGAACATCATGAATCACGTTAAACTCTAGATTTTGACAGTATTGTCATTACTTATTACTAATGGTTTAAACACTATTTTAATGTGTTTATTATATGTATATGGTTGAATCAATTCAGTGAAAAATGGAGCGAGAAGAAGTTAGAAACTTAAAAAGTCAACTCTTGTCGATAAAACAAATAATTATTCAAGTTTGCTCAAACTTTGTCCTTTTCTCCCAAATAATTTATTATGCCTGAGTTGATTCATACAGTATTTAGTTCAATTAACAAAAAAAATATTTATCTCAAGAGTGTCTAATCTAAGTATTTAATGATAAAATAATATCAAAAACAAAAACAAAGAAGAAAAATAAGAAGAGAAGTATAAGATTACAACATGACTTTAAAAAATTCATTAACACTTGTCACTTATTTTAAAATATTAAAACTATTACAATTTGAAAAATTTAATGGAATCTCTCTGGTATGATGATGCTCTTAACCAAAACTCACGATATACCTCTCTGGTATGCTGCATTTAGGATACTTGTGACACAAAATATAGTGCATCAATCTTGAAACTTATAGGTTAAATCATTTTTTTGTCAACTAAATGTTTTGTATATACATTGCAAATTCTGTATATAACTAACTAAATAATATTTATTCCTACTATTTTTTGGATGATCAGTTGCGACCGACTGATTATCAACTCAATCTTACACATAATCGCATATTATATTTTATGTTTTTCATTCTTACTCCATGTACACTTCAAGTTACATTTGTTTTTTTTTGTCTACGAGTTTTATACGTGGTAGCCATAAAAAAAAAGGTTTCTACTGGTATAGCACATTGTATTCAAGAGAATGACGTCGCCATCTGATTAACAATTCACAAATCTTTGACGTGCAATCTTTAACTTTTGAAGCCAATGAATAAAAAAAAGAAGGCTCTAGAGCTAGACTTTCATTTTATTAAAGTTAACTTTGGGAAGTATATACTGAGTTTCAAAGATAAACGCTTTGGTTTTGTTGATAGAGAACCAGAGATTAAGTCTATTAGACAAAGTTTTTAGCTTCCCTAACTTTCCTGAGGATGTTCGTCTTTTGTTTTGTTTACAAGAGATTAGAAACTTAGAAAAAAAAACATGAATATGATGACGGCTATGACTTTGGGTCGAGTTTTTCGGCTTTCACTATGAGCTTTATTATTGGGCCGTTTATGATATCATATGGGCCGAAGTTCTAAGGGGGTTGAAAGAGCTGAACTCACTTTTAGTTGATTTTAGTCAACTATCAGTAAGAAAAGTGTATGATATTCATAAAACGGTCAACTATGGTGGAAATACAATATGAATAAGCAGAACTGTAAAATTATTATTGATCTAAGAAAATAATTAGCTAATTCTATTTATGGACTTGTAACATGTAAGGAGAAGAATCATTAGCTAATTCAAATACAAAAATAGAGGTTTAGCTGACTCTCAATCTTAACTAAAACACATCAACAACTGCAGCAGCAACTCCACTTCAATAACTCCATTCACAATCACACTTACCAAATTCTCCAATGCTCCTTTATATAAACCCCATTAACCACATCCATCATTAAACATCAAACACAACACACAAAACATAAAAACAACTTCAGAAACCAAAGACCAAAAATGGCAAAAGCTCTTCACATAACCATCCTTCTCTTCCTCATATCCGCCAACCTCCTCCCATTCATCAACTCCGCTAGGCTTCTTGATGAGATCCAACCTCAGCCTCAGTTAGTCCCTACCGGTCAAACCCCCAACGTGGTGGCTCCAACAGAAGCTGAGGAAGAACCTGCACCAGCAACAACAGTCCCAGCTGGTCCAGCAGGGGGTGAACACGAGCCATCACTAGAGTTCTTTATGCACGACGTCCTAGGAGGGTCACACCCATCAGCTCGTGTGGTCACTGGAATAGTAGCACAAACCGAAGTGAACGGTATACCATTCTCAAAGGCCAGCAACAGCATCTTCCCTGTAGACAACGGAGTCCCACTTGTCAACTCAAACAACATCAACAGTGTCATTAACCCAAACACAGCTCCACTTCTCACAGGCCTTGGCGGTGCTCAAACCAGCACAGTGATCCAAAACACTAACGGCAACTCCAACGATGCTCTCAGCTCCAACAGTCTCCCCTTTGTAACTGCAGGAAACCTCCCTCCAGGTGCTGCTCTTCAGCATCTCATGTTTGGAACCATAACCGTTGTAGACGATGAGCTAACAGAAAGCCACGAGCTCGGTTCAGCAGTTATAGGGAAAGCTCAGGGGTTTTACCTGGCTAGCTCCTTGGATGGCACAAGCCAGACACTTTCTCTGACCGTGTTGCTAGACAGAGAGCATGACCATCATGATACTTTGGATGATGCTATTAGCTTCTTTGGAGTTCACAGGACAGCCTCTCACGCCTCTCAGATTGCTGTTATTGGTGGGACAGGGAAGTTTGAACATGCTAAAGGGTATGCTATAGTGGAAACTCTGCATAACCAGAATAATCAGCATATCACTGATGGTCAAGATACCATCCTCCATTTCAGTGTTTACCTCACCTACAAAGCTTGATGAAGATGTATTGATGGGTGTCAAACAAATATATGGTTTGCTTTTGTATATGTTCTTGCTCACTAGCTTCCGTTGCTTGTGGTCTATTTTCCTTTGTTGTGTAAATCTGGTTTTCAAAGAAATTTTATTTAAATGAAACTGTTCCAATCTAATTATATGTTTCCTTCAAACAAAAAGCGTTTTACAGAAACAATACATGATACAGGCTCCAACAAGTAACTTGTTTCTTAAATTAGCTACTGATACTTGTTTCACAACATCTTTTCTTAAACAACCAAATCAGTTAAACGGCACTTGATGTTTTTATCACTTTCCATTATCTGTTACTGCAACCAAGTCTTCAACCGTCACTGGCTTGTGCAGCTGCAGTCAAACCAATGTTCTCAAGCAAGTTAGAAACAAAACAGAAAAAAACAAGACCACATGAAACTCTTATGAACTAGTCGAAATGGATAGTAACTGTATATACTCACCGCTTCTGCAATGTTGAACCAATGAAAAGACCGCAAGATAGTATCATCTTTTGAAGGAAGAGTATCATGATTCCAGTATGTCATTTTATCAAATTTCGCCTTCACTTCCCAACATGGATTCTCCTCTGAATCACTACAAGCTTTTCTCTTTCCATTGGCGTTTCGGTTACTCGCTTGTCCAAGCACAAAACCTGAGAGGATAAAACAACACATGAACAGGCAAAATTGCTAACGAATAACCAAAACACAGTTTCTCCACACAGAAATTAAAAAAAAAAAGTTTTTCTCCTTTAAGTCAGTAAGGAAGGTACCAGAGTAGCCACTAGGGAGTGAGATAGTTGCTCCCTGCAACTTCCTTCCTCTGAAATGAGCTTCTTCCGTTCTCACTCCATCAACTTCCACCTCTACAATCCACAGTAATCTCTCCGTATTACAACAAAAAAAAAACAGAATCACAATGTACACAATATTATGTTTCTGTTACCACTGGAATTAGGCTTGAAATAGTTGGAAACTTGAGTAGGACCGTCGAATCTAATGCAGCAAGGAACCTGGTGAACTTGACCACTGAGATCAGCAATGGAGGTTTCATCTGCTGCAGCAGCCCTAAGGTCTATGGTTCCCATCAAAGCTAATCCCTTAGATTTCTGTAACCACAATTGTCCAATAAGAAAATGGTGACTTGAAGTTTAATGGTGATTTCTCTAACCACAGTTTTAAAAACTAAAGATACAATCATATAAATGGAAATGTGTCTTTCATTTAATTTTGTCTTTAAGTTTAAAACACAGAATTATAAAAAAAACCAAAGTTTACATTTTCAAATTATAATTCATAACACTCTCTTTTGTTAAATAAAAGTTGTAAACTCTCCTCAAAGGCCAAAACTCGTTGCTCTCCTAATCTCGTGACTCTCTGCACAATTAAAAACAGTCTACTCAAACCAAATAAGAACAAGCAACTAAGAACTACTCAATCTTTTTGCGCTATCCAAACTCAAAATTAATCAAGGCACAGTTGGGGGAATAAAGCAAAACAAGACAAGAGTTTAATCTAGTAGCAGATAAGTGGAAGAAAGTGATTGTGAAGCTCATATGAAGGAAGTAAGAGTAAGATCTACTAGCACTACAAATAATTTATCACACCGTAAATCAAATGTGTAATGTCTTACAACTTCACTAGAGAACGTATATCTATCTATCTATCTGGAGATCACATGGAAGATTTATACAACATATGAGACATCGTACTCTTGCCTATTGAAACAAGCATCTTTGTTACTCATCTGAAACTCGATCAGTCAGTCACACACACAAGACTTACATCATAAAGAACATAACATCACATCACAACTCAGTTTCAATAAGGCAAAACAGAATGGTTGCTACTTCTGAAACTGAGATCATTCTTTACTCAAACAAGTTCATTGCTTTCTTACCCTACATCAAGTAAGTAATCAAATAAATCATTCAAACCCTTCTCGATTACGTCTTCGTCTTCAACGGCCTTCGCTATCGATTCAAGAGGAAACCCATAAGAAGCTTATTTCGGTTCAGAACTAACCAAAAAAGAAACTGCAAACCCCTTCATAAGAGTTTAAACACTGAACTTTTGCTTCTGTCTACTTTCTTAGTGTTTTTTTTTTTTTTTTTTGTAAAACTAAAGTGTGTATTAAATAAACCATAAAGTATCGATTTTTATACATTCAAAGATCAAAAACCAATAAAAGACTTATACTTTCTTATAAGAAACTTCCTCATAATTGTACCTTCTACTAACAGAGAGATTGAGTCACTATAAATCGTACCTCTGCCTCGCCGGACAAAAAAAAAAAGAGAGAGAGAGATGGAATGCTTACTGATATGGTCACGAGATTTAAACCCTAAGTTTCAACAACAGTTGAGAAGAAGAAGAAGAAAGAACACCAAAAAAAATATAGTGAAACCACGGCAATTGAGAACGTTCCCCCACTCCAGACAATTTCATATAGAGTTGGGCCAAGAAATTAGTAAAGCCCATATAATTTTTGGGCCTAAATTAAGACCTAAATCAATCACTTTCATTATACAATAATATTCTCTTTTCCCCCATAAACCTTCAAAAACAGAACAAAACAAATGACAAAGCTCTAACATGCCCTAATATGTCAATTCTTACAAGTTACAACGCATCATGTTGTCTAATGATATAGCTCAATGGATTTTTACTGGATTAAATGGTCGAGATGCTATATATACGTATATACACGTACAACTCAAAAAGGCTTATATAGAGATAAGAGTAGTTACGTTCGGAAAAAAGGATCACCAATATCACTCTCAGTTTTTATGTCTTTATTGTTGGACTGACGCAGATAGAAAAAAACAAAACAAAAAGATTTACATATATAAGTGTAAATACATATCATCTTAGAGAGGTTATTTTAATTTAAAGAAGGATCATATAATATGCATATCGAATTGAACTGGATGAGTGATTAAAATATTTTAGTCGTCTGATGAATCAGAGATCATCTTGTTTGTCTCTTTCTCCGGCATTGACACATTTTTCGTGTGCGCGCTTCCGCTCGTACGTCTCGAAGAACTCCTTGTTGGTTTTCACCAGCTCCTTCCACACTAGTTTTTGTCCATTGATCGTGTTAACATACAAAATAAAACAACAGATAATTATTATCACTTCATACGAGATTGTTCCTAGACAAGTTGACATGTCACATACTATAAATCAAAGATAACATTATCGAAAGAGTTATACGATCATCGATGGTTAAGGAAATTTCCATGTAGCGTATGGACATTATAGAAACGACACTCACACTCAAAATACAAACAATATCGTCCAATATACTAGGCCCCAACACCTTGGTTACATATGTACGTAGTTTCGTGACGAATTAGTTGGACTGATCAGTGATCACCGGATCGTATAGAGAATTAATATATAACATAGGAGATTGATAAGAGGGGAGTACTCGGATATAACTTCTATGCAGAAAAAAAAAAAAAAACTTCTATGCATAAAAGTATATATATAAAGGCCAAAATAATTGGTGAACCTTCACATATGCATCAACTGTATAAGACTAGAAAAANATTAGTTGGACTGATCAGTGATCACCGGATCGTATAGAGAATTAATATATAACATAGGAGATTGATAAGAGGGGAGTACTCGGATATAACTTCTATGCAGAAAAAAAAAAAAAAACTTCTATGCATAAAAGTATATATATAAAGGCCAAAATAATTGGTGAACCTTCACATATGCATCAACTGTATAAGACTAGAAAAAGAAAAAGAGAGGTGCAAACCTGTGGAGGTGATGACAGGATTGATGTTTGCATTCTCAGAAAGAGCTTTCATGCATTCCTCTTTGCTCATGTTGAAAATCAAACAGTTTTCTATCATGCATTGCACCTATACACATATCACACGGTTACGTTGATCATGTCCAACATCAAACATGTATACCGACACAAAAAAAAAAAGAAAATCTCCGTTATGAGAAGAAAACATATGTTTATAATCTCAAGCCTGTGATGTATATGTTTACCATGTGAATGTATGCAGCGGGAGAACAATCACCCATATCTCTTTGTGTATATTTTGATGAAACCCTAACTTAACCCCCTACACTCAAGTTAAGATCCTCCACTATTGATTGATGCTCATTTATACAAGAGATTCGTGAGCACAAGTAGTATTACAAGCATGTGGCTAGCTGAAGTCCCACGTAGAAGATTGGTTATAAATGGCTGAGAAAGAATTAGATTTGTAAAGTCACATATATTTTTTTTCTCTTTTCTCCTTTGTTTCCATTTCCAAAACTTCTATGTAGCTTCTCTTCTTTAAAAAGCCAAACATTTTCTAATCAACTTCTGATCCGTTTGCCTTTAGTCATGTTTTGTATTCCAGGTTCTAGAGGGTTGATTTCAAATGGTGAACCTGGAATTTTCTTTTCCACGGTTGCATTTATAGCCACGAAGAAACATTTTCCAAACTGAAATTGTATAACTGTATAAGCAATATGCTCTTTAATTTTCTTGATACTTACCGTGTAGGCCAACACTTAGGACATGGATCTACAAATAAAACTTCAAGATATAATCAAATCCCACAAGTGTTTGTTATATCTCTACAATTTTAATCAACTTAACCTAATATTTTGCACGTTAACTATTTGCTTCTTCAATCCTATATATAACATCATGTATTCCAATCATTGTATATAGTATCATGTATTCAATCACTGTATATAATATCATATACTCATTTTATATGTACTAAACTAATTCAGTCACATGCATAATAGCATGACATGTGTACTGAAATTCAGTGTGTTGATCCATATTATATCTAAGATGATTTGCCCCCAAACTTGAATAACTAAGTATTAATATAAATATGACTGTACGGTTGATGGAATAAAGATTAATGAGATAAAATGAATAACAGTAGAAAACAATAAATTCATATTATATATTTTTACAAAAATTGTAACTCGTAAAGCGGTAAAAATAATTATACCAATGTATATCTCATCCCTAATGATCACATGTAGAGTAGTTTTCGTCTATACTTTTTCTCTATCACATATATAAAATGGGGCACTAGCAGCCATGAAGTGGTTGGGGCCGCTCATCTCATCTACACGTAGGTCATCCTGACTATGCCAGTGCATGAATATTCTCACGAAAAACAAACCACATGCACAGTATACTGTAGACATTAATTCATCGTATATAACACACATTGGTTATTCATCGTATACCATATTAACCACATCAGTTCCTATTTATCCCACATACAGTTAACTTGAGTATATATGTTTCAAAATTAAGAAAAATAATAATCAATTCGTTTTTTTGTCTGAAATTTTGTATTTACCTAAGTAAGTTTGAAATACAAATCTTTAGGAAAGGAAAAAGGTTTAGTTTAGTTCTATAAATATTATATTTGGTTATAAGTAAATTTTCTGTTCATCAAAAGTTTGAAATAAAAATCTTTATGAAAGGAAAAAGGTTTTTAGTTCTATAAATATTATATTTAATTATAATTTTCTGTTCATCAAAATTTTATAATTTTCTGTTCATCAAAAGTGTTACTTCTTCATTTTATTAAGTAATTTTTAAAATATAAATCTCTTGAGTATACAAAAAAAAAAATTGCATGGATTTAAAATTATTAAAATAGCTGAAAACATAAATAATAACCAATATATATACATATATTTTTATATCTATGAACATTAATAACCAAAAAAATGCTTGAAACAAAATGATCAATCATTGTTTGGCCACGTTTCATATTATCAAGATTTCTTTTTAATAGTTGACAAAAACTTTTCTTTCACTCAAAACGTTTTTATTATCAATCATATCATCGGACTTGCGCTTCTTTCTACTATATGGAGTATATGTTTTGGTAACATTTTAGCTTAAAACTTATTTAGTTTTAACCCATTATGGTAAAATATATAGTATATATATAGTAGTTAGTGTGCATTACTTCTCGACCACTATTGTTTCAGACACGTACAAAGACTAAAAAATCAAGTACTCGGTTTAGACAGGCGATTAGAAACTAAAGTGTTAACAACAAAACTAAAACGCAGGAGAACCAGATAAGATAACGAAGTTTTGCTGAGAAAGCTTCAAGCAATGTGTGGAGGAAACTGAAATAACACAATAATCCTCTTACAGCTTTGTGGGGAATCGGGAAGCCGACACTCTTTTACGACTTAATGTCTTCATGGGTCCTTCCTAGAAAATCCCAAAAATGTGTTTCCAAATACTTTTTAAGAACCATAACTGTTATGCAATTCATATCTCTGATGACGATTGATTTGGCTGTTGTCTAATGTGGACATAACCTATGTAAACATAATTAATCAGATGCAACCAAAATTTTCTTTTGAGGATGAGATAAATTAAAATAATATTATTAAAAGTTATTTTAATATTGAAAATATTAATGAATAAGCATCCTAAAAAATTACAAATATTTTATAAGATGTTTTTTACATTATCAATTTATCATACTCTTGTTGAATTGAGAAATAGAGAATCTTATGATAGCTAAATAAACTAAGGAGAGATAACTTATAAGTTATAACAAACTGAGACGTCTGCAAATGTACAAGAGTTCAAAAATGCATGATAAAACATCATACATAAAAGACTAGATGAATGTAAACAGATTGATATGTTGTTGTTACGTGTTGGGTGGATCTAGGTGTTAAGTTCCAGACTGAGAAATGTTTTTGTTTTTTAACAAAACAAAAAAAAAGTAAGTATAACTTGAAAACATACTGTATAGTAAATTACCAAAAAAAAAACATACTGTATAGTATATAACGCATAAATACCACAATGGATGAGAACATTGCATAATCGTACAAAATTGAATAGCTGTAAGCAGTGTATAACTTCCGAAGTTCTAGATCAAATCTAGGTGATCAAGTTTCAGATCCAGATTTTCACTGGACATATAACTTTGTGCCAAGAGACAAGAGATACCAAGATGAGTTTCAATAAAAGGAAGAACACATATATGTGTATAATACTTGAAAGGATGACACAAAACCATTTCTTCACCAAGTTCAGTCATGGAGTTGCACTCTTTGCATTTCTTCAATCCATGCTTCTCGGCCATAGACCCGGATATGCCTTGATAATACTCTGTCTTACAGAATTCATCACATGTATGTTATTGTGCCTATCTATNGTTTCAATAAAAGGAAGAACACATATATGTGTATAATACTTGAAAGGATGACACAAAACCATTTCTTCACCAAGTTCAGTCATGGAGTTGCACTCTTTGCATTTCTTCAATCCATGCTTCTCGGCCATAGACCCGGATATGCCTTGATAATACTCTGTCTTACAGAATTCATCACATGTATGTTATTGTGCCTATCTATCTATATCACAGTTTATGCAGAAACAAAAACTCCATGCATATCATGGTTTCTCATAACCGCTCAACAAACACCAAGGATCCACGATGTGTGTATTCTAGGAGGCTGTGTGGATTAGAGCAGAACATGCAATATTTAGATAGAATACTCTGTCTGAAGATGTCTGTCTCTCGTTGGTATTTTCCTTTATTTATGTTGCAAAGAAAATTGGAATTTCTATTATGATACAACCTATTTGTTGCAGTTTCCTTTATTGACAGACAAGGAGCTCTACTGATAAAGATTGGGAGAAAAAAACATAGTAACAGTTTCACTTAACACCACCAGTCATTAACTTAATCAAAAGCTAGATGGTTTTATCTTCCAAAGAATTCAAACAAAATTATCACATGACATCACTTGAATTGAACATAAGATGATTAATTCTTGTAATATCAATGTCAGAGATTGGATCTATAGGCCTCTCGTCCCCATCCTCCATCTGAGAATCAATTTCCCCAGGTTCTCGACTGTACTCATCTGCCATTATTAAGAACATACAAACAACTAAAACATCATCATTTGCAATCAAAACTTTAAAAAAACCACACACCATGAACAGCGTAGAACATCTATATGCTGCGGTTACTCACCAAACAAGGTATTGAGAGAGGTAGGGTGTGGAGTGGCGATGAAGTTGAGACCAATGTAAAAGGCCAAACCTAAGAGCAAAGTCACCATCAGATAGGTGGGCATAGCCAATACCCAATACCTGCTTGGGTAGTAATGGATCCCTATAGACTCCAACAGTTGATCTGGTACATATGCCCATATCAAGAAGATCACTGTGGCAACAACGGTAGATATGGACCCTACAAAACCATAAACCTCAGAGGGTTTAGGTCCCTGCACTTGTGATGCTCTGAGCTGAGACGACCTTATGCTGTCTGGATCGTGAAACCCGAAGGGCTTTTGCTTCTTTCTCTTGGAGAAGCTTAGGACCCGTCTTGGACTATTCACTGAATGAGCTTCTTCCATTGTTTTTGGACAAAGGAGGCGACGGAGAAATCACTGATAAATTGAAAGAATGAACATCAGTGAATGTTTTTTTGACATGACTAGGCTGCATCCGAAGGAACATGCAATGATCAAAATCTTTCAAAAATAAAACAGAACAGTTGCTAAACAACAAGCTTTACATATGAGAGATGATAATGCCAATAGAATCAGCTCACAATAGCTTTTCTTGCTTAAAGAAAAAAGGAGACTATCAGAGTATAACAAAACTTACAAATTCCCAGACTAGAAATATGAAAAATCTATCTTGAACTTTGTCACTAACCCTGTCAATTATATACCGGTTTTAAAAAGGAAACAGAGAAGTCCTAGTGATTAAAACTAATATCAGTTACTACATGTTTGTCTTCTCACCAGATTCACTCTAAAAGGAAGCAGACTTAGAAATCAACTGATAAATTGAAAGGATGAACATCAGTGCATGGTTTTTGGTATGGCTAGATATCAAGACTGAAGCTTGTAGATGGATTCTATAAAGATGAGGAAAGACCACTTCGTGAAAGACTAACAACAAGTCGACAAACTAAAATCAAGGCACAGGCAGAGATTTGAAAGAGCATTTAATCAGAACTGAGAAAGATCTGTCGTTAGAATCTAAGCTGCATCCAAAATTCTAGGAACAATGTTTGGTACACAACACACAATGATCATGTCTTTTTCCAAAAACTAACAGATTGCTTCCACACGGGAGATGTTAATGCCAATATCATAAGCTCACAATTGCTTCTTGTGATAAAGAAGAGGAAACTACCAAAATATAACCTTATAAATTCCCAGACTAGAATGTGAAGTATCTATGTTGACATTAGTCTCTCAATATAAGTTGTAGTAGTTAAAAACCAACTATCAATTACTTCGACATCTTTGTCTTGTCACAAGATTTACTCTAAAGTTGTCTTTCTACAATCTGTCAAAGATCATCAGTTCATGTATGATGAAAGCTTAAAATATCTATACAAGAAACAAATGATACTTAGATCCAATGAAATGAAAGGAGAGAGAAGATAGACGAGAAAGTGTAAGCAAAGCCATATCTACCCAGAGAATAAGTAACCCAGAAAATGCAAAAACACTGAGAAATTGCAACCAAAGCTCAAATTAGGCAGAAGATAAGACTACAGAAACCAAAGCTCTAAACCTAAAAATTAACGAATTTGGCCGCGAGAGTTGGGGATCATATTCAACAAAATACACAAAAAACCGCTAATGTGAAAATCAGATCAATCAAAGAAAAAGGAGACATAAGCTTACACGACAGAGTACTGACCAAACAGGATATTCCACCTCGACTTCTTACCTCCGATCTATCCCAAGTTCGGGTATGAATTCGTTGTCGGAATATTAGAACACAGATCACCAAAGAAAGGTTAATGAATCGGAATTAGACTGTTGACACATCCGAGTAGCAGGTCGTGTAATCACACAGGTTATACATATAAGCCTTGGGGAAAAACCAATTATTGTTAATTGTAATGTAACTTTTAAGTAAAAAAGATTTAGGTTTATAATTTAATTGGGGGATGGGGGAGGCCCGCACGAGTCGAGTTCTGCAAAAGTAAGCAGCGTCAACGACTCGGCCAGCCTATTTCCCTTCCATAAATTCTTGCGCCACTTTCTATGTTTTACTGTCAGCGCTGCGACCGGCTCTCACCGCTCGCATTGTTTTCCTTACTCATTAGTTTAAGGCAATTTTTCATAGTCGTTGATCCTTTGCATCTTATAGCAGCACCCACATGACTCATGCGCCTCAACTCCCCGATGTGGGACGAATAACAAACATTAGTACTTATCTTCACTCCAAACCGATATTGATCCGGTTCGGTTCTTTATAGTTGATCTAATCTATCCCAACATATTAATTGAACCGGACCAGACTTGATTTTCAATTAGATCTTAGTTGTAGATTTTACCATAATCAAACTAGTTTTCTTTTATATTGGTTTACTTTTTATTTTATGAATGAAAATTACAAAATCAATTTATGATTCTACTTGAACATGGTTAATCATAAAAAAAATAATCAATTATTCTCAAGAATTGATTAAAAAAAGCATTTTTATAAGATTTGTGGTACACATTAAAGCATTGTGCCAAATTAAAGCGATGTACACATTTTAATTTGGCACCGAACAGCTATTCTTATGGTGTAAACATTAATAATCAAATTTATCTTCTATATTAAAAGAGAAGTACCATTTATATCTACTACAAAAAGTCATATTGGACTATTTCATTAATATAACATATTTGATTATTTATATTAATCAACCAAATATATATTACTGAAGAAATATTTTAATAATATATAACTATAAAGTTATCTTTAATTTCATTTATAACAAAATCTGTTGAGAAAATATCTAACANACAAAAAATGTTGACATATATTTTGTAATTCACAACAAATACATTATCTAAAAAATATATTTGATATTTTTAAAAAGTGACAACAATATATTATATAAAATAATTAAAATAATAAGATTCTATAGTTATACAATATAAAAATAAAATGTAAATGATATATCTGAAAGATTTTGTTATATTTTTATAAAATGAAAAATTATCCGCACGGATGTGCGGGTTCAAAATCTAGTTTGTGGTAAATTAAATACGTACAACAAAACAAGATTTGGTTACAAAGGTACTACTTGTCTGCTAAACGATATGGTGAACATTAAGCTTTACGAACTTAGACGTAGAGACCTTCTCTTCACTGCTTTTAACGACATAAGAAGCAAACAGCAGCTAACAGTGGGATCTAGCATGCTCAGGTTTGTGAGTATACTCATAATCAAGATGCACAAAAGCCCGTTCTATCTCCTGCAACTGCTCCAGCTTCTCTTGCAGCGATTCTCCAATGTCGTGAGCCACTTGCAGTGGCATATCAGCAGGTAGAACTATATCAACCTCCACAAAGTAATGAGAGCCAAATGTGTATGCCCTCACTGTGTCGATATGCCTTATGGCTTTATGGTGGTTCCAACACAGGTATGTCAGTTTCTGCAGATACTCTGGTGTTGCTGTTTTCCCGACTAGAGAGTTCACATTCTCCAAAACCGTCATTGACCATGTCCTTATTGTGTACAGTGCAAGCTACATGAATCAAAAGACCTTTTTTTAGGAAGAAGTATAAAGAGATGTTAATACGTTTTTGGTTTAACTTACAATGATAGCTCCAACTGGATCCATCCAGTTATCAATGTAATTGGCGAGGATTACTGCAATGAGTCCAATAATGTTTGTGATGACGTCGAAGAAGTGGTCTTGAGCATAAGCTTTGACAATCTCGTTACTGAAGGATCTGCAGTAAAGAACGAGAAGCAGTTTGACCAGTGTGACAGAGAGCATGATCCCAACCACCCAACTCTCTTGCTCTTTTGTTAGGCTAAACTCCTTGTGCTGTAATAGAAACAATTGTGTGAAATTATGTAGTAAGTTTTGAACCGAAGCTTTCAGGACAAGATCAGGCTTACTTACACTGGATAACATTGTGCGAAGAGACTCCAAGATGATTTGTAATCCAAGTGTGGCCATCACTGACGCAAATACTAGGATTCCCTGACAAGATTGATTCAATAACATCAGTAAATGGAGGACACACACATATATATGCACAATTTTCTAGAAGGATGTTACAAACCAGTGGCTGCATTCTTTTCTTCCCAATGGGATACTGATAGGGGTTTGGTGTTTGCATAGAGAAGGCGGTAAACCAGAGGATGAAGCCAGAAAGAAGATCAAGAAGAGAGTCCAACGTGGAAGCAACGATTGCTAAAGAGCCACTTGTCACAGACGCATAGACTTTAGCAGCAAAGAGAACCATATTGGCAATGTTTGATATTCTAATCGCCAATGTCTCGCTTTTAGCCAGATTGTCTTGCTCTTCCTATGTGCACACAACACAGAGATAAGTATCAATAAACAAGAACAAAAAATGTGGGGAAAAGAGACAAGTTGTCATCATCATCATCATTCTAAGCTAAACCTTTGACATTCCAGGGACAAAACCACGTTCTGCGAGTTCATCCATTTCTGTAAAGCCTTCAAGCATCTCTACTTGCTGCTGGTAATATTCTGCCACATTGTCTTCCGGACCTGCACCCACCAAAGACATAACAAAGCTTTCACAAATCTGTATAGCAAAAAAAGAAGCAAGCAAAGTTTCAAACTAGTTATGCTACTTTAGAGCACAGTAACCAAAAAAGAACCCCTTTGAGATTTGTTCTGATACTACTACTATAGCTTCAATCACGACGACAGAGTTTCTTGATTGGAATCACAGATTATGATTAAGTTAGTCATCAGTCATGTTCAAAAAGAAAAAAAAAAAATACTCCCAAAAAATCAAGATCATTATTACAATAAACTCATGCAAAAGTTTCCATATAATCTGAGGTGAATCCATCAAAACTTAGTTACTACCAAAGACTCCACTAACTCCCAAAGAAAAGTCTAAAACTTATTATAGAATTTGATAATATGTTATTTAAGAATCAACAAATCTAAAAATAGCAAAGCAAAGTCACCCAAACTCAAAAAGTCCAACCAATCCACAAAACACATCAACTCATTTGTCTCCTTACAGACCAGCCTTGTCCTAATCAGTCAAAACAAAAACATAAATGTCGAGAGGAGAGGAGACTCACCCAAGCAACCAAGACAATTATGGAGTTTGCTCAGCGATTTCTTCTCCTTATGCTCCGGAGAAACCTGGAAGTCATCGAAGTTTAGCTGCCAAGAGCGGTCACCGTTACCGTTAAACTCGAGCAGAGAGATCCCTTCCTCGGCATCTGGCCTAACCATTATTAAAGCGATTTGGGGGCGAAACGGTGAAGGAAGGTGTGAGAGTGGAAAATTTGAAGAGACGGCGAGGGTATTTCGGTAATTAAACCGAGGAGTTCTGATACTAGCTACTACGACTGGTGTGGTAGACGTATCAGTAACCACAAAGATACTTTGGGACCAGACACGAGATGAAAGCGTCTTTTTCAAATGTCTTACGTGGCGACCTTTAAGTGGTTTTAGTATCTCGCACGTGATTGACGACGGCTTTCTGGACACGTGTACATTAATCTCCAACTGTACATCCCGTGACATGGCCATTTCTAAACTACGTCGTTATGTTGTATTTGTTAAATGGCTGGTAACTTTTTATTTGGGCTTTATAATAGAAGGCAAATGAGAATATTAAAGGCCCAAGTAAATTAGGGTTTTGTGACTTCCACAATATAAGTCTCCAAAGCTGCGAAATGAATTAGGGTTTCAGCTGCTTCATCTCTCTCCAGGTTCGTCCGCATCCTGTAGCTGTTGTACATTTCTTTGTCTGGTTTCTAACTGAGTTTGCTTTTGTCTGATAGATTTTGTGTCGGAAGGATCCTTCAGAGCAATGTCTCCGGCTAAAGGTACGGTTTTTACATGTGTTCGTCTAGTTAGATTTGAATCTATTACATGGTGAACGCTAGTAACTGGTCTTGTAATGATGCTTTGTAACCACGTTATTGTAAAGAACTTAGCTTTACTTGAGATAGTGTTCAAAATGATCTTTTATGTAGCTTTAGTTTACTGTAATCATTCTAAGTTGCTAAAGCTCTCTTTGTGTTGTTTTGTTAGTTGATACCACTAAGAAGGCCGATCCAAAGGCCAAGGCCTTGAAGGCAGCAAAGGCAGTGAAATCTGGCCAAGCCTTCAAGAAGAAGGACAAAAAGATTAGGACTAAGGTTACCTTCCACAGGCCAAAGACTTTGACCAAGGCTAGAGACCCCAAGTACCCAAGAATCAGTGCTACTCCCAGGAACAAGTTGGACCATTACGGTATCCTCAAGTACCCACTCACCACTGAGTCTGCGATGAAGAAGATTGAGGATAACAACACTCTTGTTTTCATTGTTGACATTCGTGCTGACAAGAAGAAGATCAAGGATGCTGTTAAGAAAATGTATGACATTCAGACAAAGAAGGTCAACACCCTCATCAGGTATGTCACCAAAAAAAAGAGTTTTCTTTCTTGATTTGCGAGTTCGAGTGTGCTCTCATTTAACTCATTGATATCTGTTATTGTTGCAGGCCTGATGGAACGAAGAAGGCTTACGTTAGGCTTACACCGGACTATGATGCGTTAGATGTTGCTAACAAGATTGGCATCATCTAAGTTTATCTTACCCTCTACTATTGTGAAACAGTGGTTTTGTCTCGCTTGTAGACTCAGTTTTGCTTCTAAGATATTATCTACCATCATCTGGTGATTTGTAGTATTTTGGGCAAAATATTTTCTTACAATACATTCTTGTTGCAGTTTAAAGTTGAATTCGAATTCTATGTTTTTTGCCTTATTAACAATCATAACTCGTTATAAAACTTATGAACTGCAACACACAAAAGTAATCTATTCACGTTTAACAGATTTGGAACCACATGTTTGTTTGGTTTTTTATTATCCACATGATAATATGAGTGGAGAAATTTGAGAAATGACAAAAACAAAAGTCTCTTATCCAAATAGACGAAACTCAAGGCAATGAACATTGATCATCTATAGTCTTGTAAGTTGTAGCCATTATGGCAATCTCTTCACTCTCAGTCCGCTACTGTCTTTCACCTACAATTTCCCACAAGGTTTGTAAACACTGCTCCTATTCATCTTTATCTCGGTTTCTGATGATACACATTTTCTCACCAGACAGATATTCCCTGTCCAAATCCATCACTCAGAGCTTGTTGTTCACTTTCATCCGGTTACAGTCCTGACTCCTCGGAGAATAGTAAGAAACCAAACTCATGTAAACATTGTTCTTCTCATGCTACATTACATTAGCCTTGAACTGATTTTGATATTGACACTTGAATAGCTTATCAAAAGGGAAGTAATCTGAAGAGAAGGCAAGCGCTTGTGGGAGTAGGAACTTTATTGGCAACTTCAGTTCCAGCAACTCTGCTTCTTGCTGAAGGCAATCTGCCAAAAACTAACTTTCTTCTTCATTCTTTTTGGAACCAAAAGCATAACTCTGTTTGTTCTTATAATGTTTCTGCAGAGGTACCAAAAAGCTACTCGGCTTTTGTGGATAGAGAAGACGGATATTCTTATTATTACCCATCAGACTGGAGGGTGGGTAAGCTATGGCTTTGGTTCTTGTTATTGTTGTAAGGATGAAAACATAAATGAATGAGATGATCTTGCTCCTGGCAAACTTTTATATAGGAATTTGACTTCAGGGCACATGATTCAGCCTTCAAGGATAGATATTTGCAGCTGCAGAGTGTTCGTGTCAGGTTCATACCAACAGAGAAAACAGACATCAGCGAAGTGGGTCCAATGGAAGAGGTATGTAATACAACATCTTACTGTCCTCCCTCTACTCTCTATATCGTTTGAGATTTCACATTTGTTCAGCATTATTATGTCTTAATCAGATGGTTTATGATCTAGTGAAGCATAAGTTTGCAGCACCAAACCAAGTAGCTACCATCTACGATATGAAAGAGGTCAGATTCACATCTTCTCTTTGTTGCTACATCTTAACGAATTGTCAAAGTTTTCAGAGATTGGATGTTTATAAAGAAAAAGCTTGAAATACAGAGGGTGGAGGATGGAAGGAGCTATTACACGTTTGAGTATGAACTAAGAACTCCCATCTATGCAACTACTTCCTTTGCAACAGTTGCAGTTGGAAACAGTAAGCAGAGATTATAACAAGATATGACTTGGCTTCACTGATAAATAAGAGAAGAAAGTGAGGACGATGAAAGTGTGTTTGGTTTTGATGTTGCAGACAGATACTACACACTCATAGTTGGAGCAAATCAGAGAAGATGGAGGAAAGTGAAGAATCAGCTTCAAGTTGTTGCCGACTCTTTGAAGATTCTTCAGATTTGATAAGACACAATGAATAATCTCCTGTTACTCCTTATCTATACTCTCTGTTGTTACAGAACTGAATCTAGATTTCAGTTTGATACTTTCATATTCTCTACAACAGCCAATGATGTTTTGGTTCAATAATTGAGATGAAAATTCAATCAAACTTGCATTAAAAAAGCACTGCCAAATAAAAGTGGATACAAATGTATTTACAAAACAGACGTCTTTTGTTCATCTTTCTCCCTAACCATTACACATTCTCCACCTAAATCACTCACAGCAACAACAGAAACAAACCAACTTCCTCTAATCTTCAGTTTCAATAAACAAAATGATATACCTTCAGAGACCAAGCAATGAATAAACACAATCCTACTTCTTCATTGCTTTATCTCCTGAAAGAATATGGGAATCTACGCCTACACGCTCCTACTTTGCATACAGAAACTAATCGTGGTTGTACAACTTCTACTCATTTGGTGTAAGCCTTGATCAGACTGCAATAATAGTATCCCGTGGCATCACATGATCGTTATGTGTCAGAGTTCAATCTCTCTTTAGATCAGTCGATGTTGGCGTAGACCCTTGCCAAAGTGTGGTTGCATTAAACGCACGTACAATCCGTTCTTACCCGATAAAGCATCATGCGTCCCTTCTTCAACAATTTTGCCTCCATTGAGAACCACAATGTTGTCCACATGTCTCATCATCGCCGCTCTATGCGCTATCAGGATCGTTGTTTTGTTCCCCATTATCAGCGTATCAAGAGCTTCCTGGACAACACGGCTTGACTCTGATTCAATAGACGAACTCG